TCCTTCGGCAACGCCGGGTTCAGCACCCGCAGCGTGGATTGTGTCCCCAAGGTCGGGGCGGGATTCGGGGCCAGGAGCGCGGTCAGCTGCGTGGGGAGGGAGGTGCTCACCGGGGTGGACGGGGTCCAGTGCGCCGCCGGGATGGGCAACCTGGGCACCCTGGGCACCCTGGGCAACCTGGGCAGCGTGGTGTGCGCGGGGGTGGAGCAGTGCGGGCCCGGGCCCGTGCTGATCCCCGGGGCCCCGGCCGTCTGCGGGAACAGGTTCAGCACAGCCGTGCGCGTCGTCAGGACGACCCGGTAGAGAGCGGCGGGGCCCGAGACGGCAGATTTTATAATAATCAGCATTTCTGCAATAAAACAGTATTCCCCCTCCCTCTGACAGCCACAGGGATCACACAACCATGCACTAGGACATCGCTCTGCCTAAACCTGACAAAACCCACCCTCTCCCTGATGTTTTTCTTGGGGGAAACTCCCCCCTGCCCCCGCCAGCCAGGTGAGATTTTAATTTCAGAGACCATCCCTGTCTCCACTCATCATCTTGGCTTTTCGCTCACCCTGCCCTGCTTGACCCCTTTCCAGCAGAGACTTCTAATGCAGCTATTGCAAAAGGATGAAAAATTTGGTCATCCCAACTTCAGAGAGAGAAGCCACAATTTAATTGTCCAAGACAAAGCAGCATCTGTAATTTACTTCTTTAATGACAGCAGAAAATCCAATTTTTCCTGTTTACAAGAGGGCTGGGAGTGCTTATGCAAATTGGTCCAGGTTGCTACACTGCGTTTGGTAGAGCAGATTTTAATTACACCCCAACGAGCACCTTATATTTCTGTAGTTAAATGCATGTGTTGTTTTTCCTGTGTGCAATAGACGGAGTTAAAGCTTTTCATGTGTAAGTGAACAGAGTTATTTCCCTTCGCTTACTCCAGACTTTCAGCTGTACCTTCAATAAACTCCATGCATAATTCATGCTGCACTGCCTGGGCTTTATTTCCCTCCCTCATATTGCAAATCATAGAAATTTCCTCAAACCTGAGCCTCCAAATGGGTGGAGTTTGGAGCTTCAAGAAGGTTTTGTCTGCTCTCTTTCCTCAAGCACCTTTGCATACCTTTATTTCATCCACTGATTAGTGTGGCCACAAGGAAGTCTGGAAAGGAGGCTGTTTACCATCCATGGGTATGCAGTTTGCTTGGGATCTCTCAAAGTGTCTGGGATCTCTGGAGATGGAACAAAAAGGCAGCCAGGCCCTTGTTTAAGGAAATCAGTGAGAACCAGCTCAGGGAGGAACAGGAAAATAATCCCCACCACACCTGTGAAACCCTCTCACAAGAGTGGGTTGATTTTAGAAGAAGGTAAGAGCAAAGTGCAGTTTCCCAAAATGCAGCACCAGGGGCTCCTTCCTCAACCACCACCTTCCTTAAAATATGTGAACTCACAGAAAGAGGAGAGGGTCTGGAGATGTGGCTGGACATGCTCCTCCATCATCCCTTCCGGGGAGGGAAAACCCTCTCTCACAGTTTTAGGAAACTGGGATTAGGAGAAATCACATCGTCCTCTCCTTTTCCTCTGTGAGGTTTATAGAATCATGGAATATCCTGGCTGGGAAGGGACCCACAAGGATCATCAAATCCCAGTCCTGGCCTTGCACAGGACACCCCAAAGGTCCCACCAGATGCTTGAGTGTTGTCCCAATGCTCCTGGACTTCTGCAGGGCTCCCAGTTCCCCTGGACAGTGACCCCCTGATGGGTCTCTATAACTTGGCTGGGAGGATCTTGCCGTGGTGGCAACTCAGCCCAGCTGGATGGACAGCTGGAATCACAGGAAAACAAACCAGCCCTGCAGCTCCTCCCTTCCCACAGCTCCCCATGGTAGGGCCAACGGCCCCCGAGCCAGCTCTGCATCACCTTTGGAGAAATCCCTGTGCCCAGCCTGGAGCAGCACACGGTGTGGGCAGGTTCATGTGCCCATGGAAGGCTCACCAAGAAACAGGGGCTGGAAATTATCCCCCCATGTCCCACTCTGCTTCCAAGACTTCCCTGCTGACCCACAGCTTCTTTCCCTCGACCTCTGCAGGGCTGGAGGATGAGCTCAGCCCCCATCCCAGACTCTGTCCTCGTGGGTGGGACGGGGATGAACCCAGTGTGGGATGAGCTCTGGCCTCTGCTGCTCTCCCACATGGGGCATTCTGGCTCCCCTCGTGGTGTATTGGATGTGATCAACAGGGAGCAGAGCACTAATTCTGTTTTAATAAATGCCACAGTTGGCTGGGGGGTGGTGAAAGCCAAGTGGGTCAGCCCTTGGTGAGAAAGCAAAACTTACTCTGCTAAAGATGTTTTTGGAAATGTTTTCTTCATCTTTTCTGCTCCATGAACACGACTCAGGCTCCATCTCATTTCTATGTAAACACCAAGCAGAAACACCCAAAACAAGAAGCTTCCAGTGCCCCAGCAGCTCATAATTTATGTTGATCATCTTCCTGCAAAGCAATACCTGAACACCAAACACCAGCCAGCTCCCCAGGGGGCAAAAGCAGTCTGGCAGCTCTTGCATTTCTGGGAAAAAACCTTTAATCATCCCTGTCCTCAACTCCCAGCTATTGCAAAAGCCATGTTTGCTGCTGCCTGCTTGAAGATTTTCACGTAGATCAGGGTATTTTGGAGAGAAAAAAGTCAGGAATGTGGGTTTGGGGTGGATGGAGGTCAAATCCCGCACAGTGTAAATCTGGACAGACCCTTTTGTAAATTGATAGAGTCCAAAACTATGGATTCACGGAATGGTTGGATTAGAAGGATCTTATAAACTGTCTTATTCCACCCCCTGCTGTGGCCAGGGACAACTTCTCTGTCCCAGGTTGCTCCAAGCCCCATTCAGCCTGGCCTTGGACCCTTTGAGGGATGGGGCAACCACAGCTTCTCTGGGAAATCCACTGCAGGGTCTCCCCACCCTCACAGCGAGAAATTTCTTCCCTATATTTAACTTTGACTTTCCCTCTCTCAGCTTGAGCCCAGAGCCTGGCAGAGTTGATGCAAAGAGATATGAAAATGCCACATCTGCCTCCAGGTTTGGAGCCCCTGGCTCCTCCACACCACCAAGCACCCCAGGAGGGAAAGGAGCATTTTTCAGGTGGCCTTTGTATCTCTCACATACCCTGTGGATAACGAGCCGAGGGGAGAAGAGTGTGGGAGCCTGAAGTGACAATTCCCTCTTTCTTTTTGGCAGCCCCACCTTTAATCCCATTACATTCATTCAGCTTTAACATCAGATCTGAACCCGTTCTTCAGCTTCAGGACAAGCTGCCTTTTCTGGGGTCAAGGAACCATGAAGACAAAATCTCATTTTCCCATCGCACCCTGGCTTTGAATTTTATGCAAATCACGGAGGCAATGGATGCTCATGAATTTCAAGTGACATTCCAGGTTCAGACCCACATTTTCCAAAAAGAAACAAGCTGACATGTACTATCTTGGAATAATTTCTCACTGCAAAGGGAAATCTCTTTCAGTGCCCCAGCTCTCCATTTGAGCCTGCCCAGCAGCATTTCTCTGGGGATAATCAGATATTTGGTCTTCTGTATTCAGCAGCACCTGTTTAAGTGTTCTTCCAGAGATGCCAGTGGGATTTTAGTTCCTTAATGGTTTTGTAGCTCTGGGGCACAGGGATGTGTTTTGAAAGGCAAGTAGAGTCCTGTCCTGTAAATATATTTAAGCTCCAGTCCTGCAGAATTCAGGTAAAGCCACCAGGGCAGCCCCATGCCAAAAAACAGCTGCACTCTGACATGCAAGGGATAAAATACTCTCAACACTGCAGTTCCACAAAGTCTGAGATACCAGAAATTGTCACCACACCCTGTTGAATTTATCTTTTTTCCCAAGGACTCCAGGAAGTAAAATAAGGAGAATTTGTGGGAGTATTTTTCATACTGGTTAAATCTGCTTTTGGCAGCATTTTGGATGGAAGATTCAAAGGTCCTTAAAAGAAATCAGAGCTAGAGAGAGCCAGAAACTCAGGACTGACTACATCCTAAAGTGGGCAAATGACATTGTTCTACAGAGATGGGCAAAGAGTTTTTCAGAAAATCTGCCGCTTTTTTTGAAATGGTTTTTAGTCAAGATGAAATGGTTTTTAGTCAAGATGAAATGGTTTTTAGTCACATCATCAGCTAGATGGAGAAATCACAACACAGCCTCTGTGTGGAATTGAGTTGTTCTCTGGAAATGCAAATATCCAGAGGAATAGCCTAGAAAGACTGCCATAGGCTAAGTAATGAATATAAATGGGCAAAATTTGAGGTGGTATTTACATCTGGAAAGGAGAAAGAGGAAAACTTGATCAGGACCTCTTTGTCAAGTCATCCCAAAGAGATGGTCACTGCCCAGGGAGTAGGAACAGCAAACTGGATAAATTAGGGCCCCAAAAGGGATGTCAGGTTTCATGAACATCAAGCCACCTTCTGCCTTCAGGTGAAGAAACCCCATGAATTATTTTTGTTCAGATTTAACCATTTTGTTCTCACTGTCTTTCACTTGAGTTAGTCCAGAGGATTCTCCACTGATCTCTGTGTTGATGTGCTGCATCCTTTAAGCAGAATTGGGAATCCAAGGCATTATTTCTGGCTTTATAGCATTTTAATATTTTTTTTCACAGTAAGGAAATTATAGAGTCTTGGAATCCCAGAATGGTTTGGGTTGGAAGGAATCTCAAAGGCCATCTCATTCCATCCCCCTCCCAGACAGCGACACCTTGCATTAACCCAGGTTGCTCCAAGCTCTCACAACCTGGCCTTGGACACCTCCAGGGTTAAGCAAAATAATACAAAATGAAATAACCCATCTCTGTGAAGAGATAGAAATCTGGGTGTTAGATAACTCTTCCAGCTGAGCAGATCCAGCCCCAGGAGGCGTGTTTGGGTGCAATCAGGGTTTAACAAGTCTCAGGGAGACAGCTGCCTCCTGGCACGTCAAAACCATGAAGGCACTAAATTGATCACTGGACTTCCATGCAGCCAAGCCCAGATCCCTGGGGGATAAAAGGGGCAGCCTGGTTCCCTTTCCTCAGAGAGCTGCAGAGTCTCTCTGGCTGTGTGGGGCCCTTCTCTGCCGCCACGATGAACCGGGCACTCAGCATGAGGGCAGGAGGGGGAGGCCGATCCTACAGCGCTGCCTCAGCCATAATTCCCAGCAGCAACAGGGCTGGCTTTAGCTCTGTGTCTGTAGCACGAGGAGGAGGAGGAGGAGGAGGAGGCTTTGGGAGGCTCATTGGAGGAGGTGGTGGCGGCAGTTCTGGCGGTGGTGCAGGTTTTGGCAGCAGGAGCCTCTACAACCTTGGTGGCAGCAAGAGGATTTCCATCGGGGTTGGAAGCAGCTTCCGAGCTGCTTTTGGAAGTGGAGCTGCTGGTGGCTCTGGCCTGGGAGGTGGGTTTGGTAGTGGTGGAGCTGGTGGTGGCCTTGGGCTGGGGCTTGGTGGTGGAGGAGGTGGGTTTGGTGGTGGTGGAGCTGGTGGTGGCCTTGGGCTGGGGCTTGGTGGTGGAGGTGGTGGGCTTGGCTTTGGTGGAGGTGCTGGTGGGCTTGGCTATGGTGGTGGTCACGGAGGTGGTGGAGGGTTTGGCTTTGGTGGACTGGGGGGGCTGGGAGGATTCCCTGCAGGGCTGGGAGGTGGCAGGAGCCCCTCAGGATTTTCTGGGAGCCCACCTGGAGTGGGTACAATCCAAGAAGTGACAGTAAACCAGAGCCTCCTGGCACCGCTGAACCTGGAGATAGATCCAAACATCCAACAGGTGCGGAAAGATGAGAAGGAGCAGATCAAGACTCTCAACAACAAATTTGCTTCTTTCATTGACAAGGTGAGACTTTGTTGGGTGCTGTGGATCTGTGGTAGAGGGGGAGTGAGGATCTAGTAGGTACCAAAATGTGACTTTAGATATCTCCAGTCTTTCACACATTTCCTCCCTGCGTGTCTTCGTTAAGTCTCTCAAACAATAATGTCCTTCTGAACATTGACAGGGCAGAAAACAAGACAAGAAAATTGTAGTTATGGGAATAGATCCAGGGTTTGTGCCCGAGAAACAACACAAATTAGTTGAAATGGCATAAGTCACTTTTGGGTCCAGGTCTAGTGGCTCAACCCAACTCACTCTTGGGCAATCACAGCAGATGTCTTGCTCTTTGTTGTTTATGCCTGCAGGATAAAATCCTTTTTTTATTGACTCAATTGACTCAACCACTCAAGTCCTTCCTCAGCTTTAATTAGATAAGTGTGTTGTATGTGTGAGCAAAAGGAAGGGCAATTAAGCAATTTTAGCATTAGTACTCAGACCTTGGCTTTAATGAAGAAAGATATGTATCTTACAAAGAAAGAAACCCCAGAGGGTGTGAAAGAAGAACTTCACTGTCTGATGAAGAAAGACCTGAACCCAAATTTTCTTACCATTGCTTGTTGGCTTCCTAACCAAATTGCCTCTGAAGAGAACTGTCCACTAAGGTGGATTTGCTCAGCTACAGGTTGGCTGGCATAGCCCTGGATAATCTAGAGGATATTCTCAGTTCGGAAACTCTTAGTTTGGGAATCCCTTGGTTCCTGCCGTGCATCACTGCCAGTGTTGAATATTGGCTGTCAGCTCGCAGGTATCTTCTGCCTAAGCCTCTTCTGCTTCCCAATGCTCAGGTTCGCTTCCTGGAGCAGCAGAACAAGGTGCTGGAGACAAAATGGACCCTTCTGCAGGAGCAGGGCCAAAAAAACAATTCTGGCAAGAGCAACCTGGACCCACTGTTCGAGGCCTACATCAACAACCTGCGACGGCAGCTGGCCAACCTGCTCAATGAGCGGGGACGCATGGATGGGGAGCTGAAGAACATGCAGGACCTCGTGGAGGACTTCAAAAACAAGTGAGTGTGAAATGGGCTGTAAATGGTTCAGCTGAGCATTGAGCAGCAGGGGTTTTCACCCAGAGGGTGGTCAGGCACTGAACAGGCTCCCCAGGGTCATGGTCCCATGGCTACCAGAGCTCCAGGAGTGTTTGGACAATGCTCTCAGGCACAGGCTGGGGTTGGTGGGGGTGTCCTGTGCAGGGCCAGGAGTTGGACTCAAGGATCCTCATGGGTCCCTTCCAACTCAGCTGATTCTATGGTTCTATGATTCTGTAATTCCATGATTCTATGACTCATGTCAAAAATTTCAATTTCTGAAAGTCAAACATCCAGACTGAAGTATTAATGGAAATTTCTCTAGGAAAGGGGAAAAAGTGTCTCCAGTTTGTGCTCCAACCCATAATATAGAACATCTCTAATCACCTCCAATACCCCCTATCTCTCCCTGCGGGACCCATTTTCCTCAACAGCACCAAAAAGGGTCCATCGACATTTTTCCCCATCAAAAAATGGAGATTAAGCCAGGACACAGCACCTTGTGATGGCTCTTGCAAAGAAAAATCCTCTAAACCAGCTTTACCTTCCTTGTTCCATCTGCATTAAGTCAAAAATGTCCTTTCAGCCTTCTGAGAAAGGGGAATCTCACTCATTGGAGCTGGACAGCTCCCAGGAGGCTGATTTGGAGATGCCACTCCCAGTCCAGATCACTTTGTAGTCCTACCTGGACACCTGTTCTGCTTCTCGAGGTCTGATCCAGCACCTCTTTCCCCTTATCTCTGTAGATATGAAGAGGAAATCAACCGGCGCACGGCAGCAGAGAACGAATTTGTGGTGCTCAAGAAGGTGGGTGAGACAGGAGGTGCTGCAGATGCTGAGCCAGCCCCAGCATTGCACAGGCTGGGAATATCCTGAGGGATGGGAGATCTCATGGAGCTGCATCCTCATCCTTTAGAAGGGTTTTAAATCACCATTTGTTCATGGTATTGTGGGAAAGGAATGGAGTGGCTTGTAGGAAGGAAGCAAAATCTCCTCCCACTCTGGTCCCACAACACACAGAGGTGCAAAACAGACCAGGCAGAGACAAAGGGGGTCAGTCATTCTTGGGAATCCCAGGTACCAAGGCCAAAGAGCCAGGACCTTCGCCTTATCCACTTCCAAATTACACAGAGCACTTTTTTGGGGCATGAGAGGCTGTCTTGGTGCTTATCCAGTGGGATGTGCCAAGCACAGCTTCTCTACCAGGCAGCAGGGACAGGGGCAGCCTTGTCTCCAGGCTTGGCAGTTTCTTGGCTGTGGCTAGGAGTTTCTTTCTGGCTGAGAAGAGGATCCAGGTGCCACAGGTGTCCCCACAGCTGCTCTTTTCCAGGATGTGGATGCTGCTTACATGAACAAGGTGGAGCTGGAGGCCAAGGTGGATGCCCTGAGTGATGAACTCAACTTCCTTCGAGCCCTCTACGAGGCGGTACAGACAAATCCCCGATTCCTGCCCTGCCGTTGTCCTTGGCTGGGGAATGCCACCATTCTGAGGGTTGGGAGAGGTAAATGCAGCTTGCATGTGCTTCCCACAGGAGTTGGCCCAGCTCAGTGCCCAAGTGTCTGACACTGCTGTCATCCTGTCCATGGACAACAACCGGGACCTGGACCTGAGCAGCATCATTGCTGAAGTCAAAGCTCAGTACGAGGACATCGCCAACCGGAGCCGCGCCGAGGCTGAGGCTTGGTACCAAACCAAGGTGAGCTGACCCATCATTGCCACACGAAATCCCTGCTGCCCCTAAGAGGGGATGTTTGAGCCACGTCTCCTCCAGCCAGACACCTCAGATGGTTCAGGTTACATCTTCCTTCTCACCTCAGTTTGAGGAGCTGCAGGCCACGGCTGGGAAACACGGTGATGACCTGCGCAACACGAAGGGTGAAATCTCAGAGCTCAACCGGCTCATCCAGAGGATCCGCTCCGAGATAGAGAACACGAGGAACCAGGTAGGCATGGCAAAAAGAGCCAACAGAGCCCCATTCTGTTGTCCCTTAACACCACAGCTCAGCTTTGCTGATCGGGGACTTTTCCAGCCTTGTTAAAGGTGTGGAATTCCCGCCTGGAAAGGGCTTAACACTGTAAAGCTTAACTATTAAGTCGATCTTGCCAGCCTGGCGTTTCAACTCCAGCCGTGTTAGCTCAGCTGGCACATTTTCCATGAACATCCCAGCCAGAATGGGTTTCTTCCTTGGGTGACTCTCACCCAAAGGCAAGAGCAGCTTTCCAAGCCCCCCCATCCCTTGCAGTGTGCCACCCTGCAGACGGCCATTGGAGACTCAGAGGAGCGTGGGGAGATGGCCCTCAAGGACGCCAAGGCAAAGATGATTGACCTGGAAGATGCCCTGCAGAAAGCCAAGGCTGACATGGCCCGGCAGCTTCGGGAGTACCAGGAGCTCATGAACGTCAAGCTGGCCCTGGACATTGAGATCGCGACCTACAGGAAGCTGCTGGAGGGCGAGGAGAGCAGGTGGGAGCAAAATCCTTGTGGGGATAATAGTGACTGTCACTTTTCCCATCAGAAATTGGTTCCTCTGCCTGTATCCATAATTTTACTCCAATCTTGTCTAATCCCCCAACAGGCTCAGCGGGGAGGGACTGAACCCCATCAGCTACTGTAAGTATCACAGTTCTGGATCCCAAAGTCTGGCTTTGGGAGCAAGGCCTGGGAGAAACCATGGGAAAAGGGAAATTTTGCCCCACATAAGACTTTTGGAGCCTTCCCCTGTCATTATGGGCTTGTGCAGGGGATGGAAGTTGGGTTCAAGTCCTGTGGGTCAAGGTCCTGATGATGGTGCTTCCTGGAACTGGGTGACTTCCCAGAGAAGCTGTGGCTGCCCCTTCCCTGGAAGTGTCCAAGGCCAGGTTGGAGGGGGGTGGGGGACCAACCTGGGATAAGGGAAGTAGTCCCTGCCCATGGCAGAGGCAGGGATGGGATGACTTTTATGGCCCCTTCCAGCCCAGCCCATCCCATTATTCCATGGCTGCCAAGCAGATGTCCAACCCTCTGATTGCTTTTCCTTGCAGCTGTCATCAGCTCCAGCTCTGGCATTTCTGGTGGAGCTGGCTTAGGAGGAGGATTTGGTGGACTGAGCCTGAGTGGAGGAGGCGGCGGAAGTGGTTTTGGCCTTGGAGGAGGTGGTGGAAGCAGCTTTGGTCTTGGAGGAGGTGTTGGAAATGGTTTTGGCCTTGGAGGAGGCAGCGGGAGCAGTTTCGGTCTTGGAGCTGGCGGAGGAGGAGGAGGAGGAAGCTACAGTTTTGGAAGTGGAGGAGGACTTGGACTTGGGGCTGGAGGTGGTCTTGGAGGTGGATTTGGAGGAGGGAGTGGTCTGGGCACTGCTGGCAGCTACAGCCATGCTGGGGGTGGCAGCAGCGCCCTGAGCACCAGTGGAGGGAATTTCAGCTCTGGAAGTGCAAAAGGCACCAACCCAGGTGTGAAAATCGTCTCCAAAACCTCCTCCAGCAAAAAGAGCATAAAAAGCCAAAGCCTGAAGAATGCCACAGAGCCTGAGTAAAGCCAAGCCCAGACCCTCCTCTGTTCCTCCTGCCCACTGTTCTCCCCCACCTCCACCCTTCCAGCTGCCCCTGCCCTGCTCCTGCTCTGTAGTTCTCACGCATTTGGATCTTGGGTCAAGAAAAGCAGTGGAACACACAGAAATCAGAGCTCTCCAAGTCCCTGGAACAGGAGTTAAAGAAAAACACGGGCCTAAGTGATTGTTCTGAACGGGGAATTGGTTTGGTTTTCCATTTGTGTTTAGTAAGGCCAAACAATTTGTGATTGTGGCCACCCACAGCCATCAGCTGAAACAGAGCAAATAGCAGGGAAAGTTTTAGCTCAGTTCTGGATTCTTCAGCCCAGAAGCCCAGGGATGGGCTGGGAATGTGTATTTAGCTCACCCTGCTTTGCCTTCACTGCTGGAATGAGCCCAACTCACTCCTTCACAAGACAAGCTTGTCTGCATCAGAGGTCTGGGTTATTTTTCTGCTGTCTAGAATTACCCCTGGAGGCTACTCAAAGATCCCAGGCAGTGGCTTGTAATGTCCCTCTTAACATTTTCTTCATTCTGAGTCACTCTGGTGAGATAGAAAATCCCTCTTTCCTCCATTCAAAGCCAAGCTTTGAAAGATATGATTCTTCCAGATATTGTCAAGTTTTGCTGCTGAGTCAGCTCAGGCACTTGAGCCTGACCAGGGATTCGGAGCACTAATGTTGGAGCAGCAACCTGAGATCCCTCCACCCACAGATGAGAATTCAGTGTGCCACGAGCTTGTCAAAAATCTTTTCCCAAATCACTCTCCCCTTCCTGCCCTTTCTCTTCTTAAATGAGTTTGCCCACAGTGGCCCTTACATGTAACTTCGGGGGTGGTTTTTGTCAGAGGATTCACCAGTGACTGATCCAGAACCTATGAAAAAGGGCTTGTTTTCTAAATTATGGGATTTTAAAATTCTAAATAATGTCTGACACAATGAGTTCTTCTAAAGCAAGATCAATGCTTGCTGTTAAATGGGGTTTCTGTCCTGTCCCATGCAAGGTGTTGCTGGAATGTCTTCAAAAATTCCCAAATCCTCCAGCATCCAAGTCTTGCTGTCTTTCCCTGTGGCCTTGGTCACAGCAGGTGGGGAAAGTCTGAGATTGTGAAAATCACGTTGGAAAAGCTTCCTGAAGGTCCATGTCCACAGCTCCTGGGGGAATTCCAGCACCTCTTCTCTGTGTGGGTTCCTCTACCACAAGAAAGATCTTTGGGAAACTGGGAAGTGCAGCCGGTTCCAGCCCAGTGTGTGGGAAGCAAGGCAGTCAAGAGCAGGATGCCTGAGGAACTCCAGGATCCCAAATCTATTTTCCCCTTTTCTGCTAGAATTTACCCCCCTAGCCTTCCACTGTGTCTTTTTATTTTTGGAAAGCACCATTAAAAAAGAAAATTGCAGCTTTTTATACTTCCATAATAGTGATGCGACTCCGTGTTTCCCTTCCTCTCTCTGTTTGGAATGTGTCCAATAAAACCAGATTGTAATTTATTTGTTCTTTTTATTTATCTTTTTATTCTAAACCAGAACCAGCAATAGAAAATATTTCCAACCTTCATCAGACAGAGCTGGAGGCATATTTTCTTTACTTCCAGGGAAAAGCTTTGAAATTCTGATTAAATTATAATGAAAATCTTGAAATTGGTTGTCCCAAAATAAATTCAAGAATTGGAGAAAACTGGGGGAGGAAGGGCAGGAAGAGAAGGAGGGTTGAGTTTTATCCATAAGCGACAAGAAAATTAATCATCATTCATTTATTAACTTATTTGGGTTAATCCAAAATATTTTCTTCCATGGAAGGGAGGATTTGGGGCATCCAGGCAAAACCTCAGGATTCAATTTTTGCTTTCTTAAAAAGCCAGGGCAAGTCCAAGTGTCTGCAGGGCTCTTGGGGAGGCCTTATCTGGAAGATCTGGGGTGGGGATGGGTGCTGGAGCACAACAACACCACTGATGCAGATATTTCAGTCAGTCATTGCAAAAGGAGAATAAAACAAAGAAATAGTGGAGGAAAAACCCTCAGCCAAACATTATTGCAAAGCCCTTATTGAATTTCAAAGGTTCAGATGCTTTGCTCTGCCCTGACCTTGCAACATCCTGGCCCTGCATAACTCCAGGCAGAACTTGGGAAGGAGCAGGAGCAGGGAAAGGAGCAGGAACAGGGGAAGGAGCAGGAGCGGGCATGCCAGCGTGTCCTGGCAAGTTCAAAGGAGATGCTTCAGCAAAACCTTGCTCAAACCCAGGTGCACCAAAACACAGCAACATCTCATCCCCTTTGCCCAGGAAATCAAAGGAGCCTCAGTGAAAGATTAAATCCAGAGACAAAACCAGACTCAGAGTCCCAGAACCCCAGAATAGTTGGGGTTGGAAGGGCCCTCTGGAGCTCATACAGTCCAACCCCCTGCCAAGGCACAGATACCTGGAGCAGGTGACACTGGAGGGCGTCCACGTGGGCTTGGAATGTCTCCAGAGAGGGACAATCCATGCCCTCCCAGGGCAGCTCTTCCAGGACTCTGCTACCTCCATGGAAAGAAGTTCTTCCTAACATTGGGGTGGAATTTCTGGTGTTCTGGTTTATGGCCATGATTCCTCCCTGCCCAGGGAGGTGGTAGGATTGCCATCCCTAAAGGTGTCCAGGGGATGCTCTGGGCTGGTACAAGGTGGGGATTGGGCACAGATGGGATTTGATGATCCTGGAGGTCTTTTCCCACCTCGGGGATTCTGAGATCCTTGTCCTGTCGCTGGGCACCACTGAACAGTCTGACACCATCCTCTTTCCACCCCTTGGAGATGTCCACATGGACTGATGAGAAACCCTCTCAAATGAGATATTTTTATGGATATTTGGGTATTCTTATGATTGTTGGGATCCCCTCTCAGCCTCCTCTTCTCCAGACTGACCACGCCCAGCTCCTGCCATTTCGCTTCATCAAAAAGATGCTCCAGATCTCTCATCACCTTTGTGGCTTCCACTGGACCCTCTCCAGGAGTTGCTTGTCCTTCTGGAACTGCAGAGTCCAGAGCAAAACACAGAACTCCAGACGTGGCCCCACCAGGGCCAAGCAGAGGGACAGGATCCCCTCCCTGACCCACTGGCCATGCTTTTCCTGAGGCATCCCAGGATTCCATTGGAATTCCATTCCTTCTGATCATGAGCACTGCTAGCTCATGTCATCCTTGCCTGTCATCCACCAAGACTCCTCAGTCTCTGCTGTCCAGAGGATGTTGCAGACAGGCCAAAAAACCAGCGAAGGTGAAAAATAAACTCTGAGTCACCTCAATTTCCAACCTCGCCAAATTGCACAGTTGGGTGCGAGGATTTAACACAGCTTTTGACAACCCAACCTTAACCAAGGAGAGTTTTTAACATCTTTTTTTCTAGTACCTTCTGAAAAAAAGAGCAAATCAGAGCTCAGAGGCAGCTGAGCTCCTGCAGACAGGAGCCCTGTTCCTCCTCCCCTTTCTCTGCAGTGCCCTCACCCCCCAGACAGCCCCCCATGAAATGTCCTGGAACTGTCCCACCTGAGAGGACAGCACAGCCCCCCTGCAGCCCCGAGCACCTTCAGTGGGACACCACTGCATGTGAGTGACACAAACCGAGAAAGGAAAGTGTGAGGGACCGAGAGATTCCACAAGAATTTTCCTTGTTTTGGTGCCTAAGCCATCCTTTGCTTTGCTCTTTCAAATCCTTTGTAATAGTCAACTTAATTGCCATTGTCTGCAGCAACAGGCTTTCCTAGAAGAGCTGGGGAAGTAATGATTCCCTTCCACATGAATCCTTTCCCTCTGCTTTAATTAAAACCTGTGCTCCTGTTCCCAGGTGTGACTTTGCATAAGCAATTTGGGAGTCAAAGGCAAGTTCCGTGCCTGGCCCCCATCCGCAGGCTCCTGGCACAGTTGTGCCAGTTCACATGGGCTGCATAGGAAAGCAAATCCCCATGGATCTGCCATGCTTGGAGCAGAGTTTATCTATTTTCAGTATCACTGTGTTATTTTCAGTGCCCAGAGGTCTCAGGGCTGAGGTTGCTGCCGCTGTGAAATCGGGAGCCGCTGGGTTTGGGTGGAGTGAGGGGAGAAGTTTTCCCAGCAAAATGCTGCGTTTCCAGCAGGATACTCCCACATCTCCACTCCTGGGGTGAGAGCACCCCCTTGCTACAGCCCAGCCGCCTCCCAGTCGCGGGAGGGATTTTGGATCAGCCCATTGGGGATCAGCTCCGATTGCGCCCGCGGTGACTCACTATCGGAATCAGGAGCGCTCCAAGGAGATGGGAGTTGGGAGCGCTGCTGTTTTCTGATTGCAAGGAGACAAAACCCAACCAAAGCAAACCCAACCCAACCAAACCCCTCCTGCTCAGGCTCTTTCAAGTTCCCAGACAGAAAAAAAAGCAGCGGTTGGAAACACATCAACACAAACAAGCTCTGAGACGCAGCCGATCCGCCTAAACTCCTCCTTTTGGATTGAGCTCCTGCACTTTCTGCTCATGTAGATGAATTTGGGAATTTTTTTTGTTTGAGCTGCTCAGGGTCTCATCTCTCTGTCTTTCACTATTACTTCCCCTGGCCAAGGTGGGCAGCCTTGGCCAGTGGGCAGAATCAGTTCACAAAAGTATTTGGGGAGGCATTTTGAGTGGGAATGAGTGGATTTCCTCTCCTGTATCTCATGTCAAGCTCTTCATAGACACAAGAGAAGGATCCCTGGCTCTCAAGCCTTTACACAACCCAGACTCATTTGTGGGGGTTGAAACTCCTGCACAAGGGTTCACCCAGAAGCAACATCAAGAGGCAAAAGCTATTTTAGAAAGTTTTTCCAACTGTGTGATCTCAGCGGAGAGAAGGAGGGGCTGCGGAGGAAAGTGGGTGAATTCCCCTCCACAGAACATCTTTTAGAGCCAGCAATGACGTGGAAACTGTTGGATAAATATAAGGGGGGGGTGGAGGGAGGCAGAAAAAGCGATAAAAATATCACTTCAGATGGAGCTTTTGAACCCTGAGCCTGACAAGGAGGTACGATAGAACCACAATAATTTCGAGCAGATTTTTAGTAGTGTTTTTTAAGTCTAAGGAAAGTATTATTTAATTTATTTCCTATTAAGGAAAGTACTATTTAATCTATTTCCTATTAAGGAAAGTACTATTTAATCTATTTTGACATGATTTTGGAAAAAGCATTTACAAGCTGTCTTTCAAAATCACGTTAACTAATTCCTCAGTTCTCCCCTGGAATGAGGGGAGATGATTTTTGGTAAGATCCCAGGAAATACTGCCATGACACAACTTCCATTCAGCTCATCTCCTCAAGCCCATGACCATTTAGATCCAGAAAAAAAAAAATCAAACTTGAATGTTAAAAAAACAATGTCAGCAGTGATCATTAAAACCACCTTCAGACCCAACTTTCCCAAGCCCACAACAGGACACGCATGGCCAGTTGCAGAGCTGGAAATCTTGGAAAAGCCCCTACTTTTCTTGCCTATGCAACGTGTTAAACCTGAAAATGCGACTTGCAAAATCTTCGCTTTGCTCAAGCGAGCGAGTCCTTGTCTCGCCTGAGGGAAAGCGGCTCCCAGGGTCTCGGGAATCATGTTGCATCCTGCCCTGAGCGCAGACCTCGTCCCATTCAATGCTAATTCCATGACTCAGAGCGGCGGCTTTGGTGGAGGGGGGAGCTCCTCTCGCCGTTACTTTCCTGCCTGCAAACAATGCATTTTTCAGCGCCTCGCCGTAGCCGAGGTGTGTTTGACAAGGCAAGTTGCTGCAAGGCACGTCAAGTTCTGAATTCCCGTGCCAAGTTTTCCAAGCAGATAAAAGAGGAGGCTCCCAAGCTCTCCCATTACAGGGGTTTCTGTCTCCATTGCCCTCTGCTCTTTTCCTGCTGCGCAGCCTTTTTTTGTTTTCCTCTCTCCTACTCTTTGTCTTCCCAACTGAACCAGCCATGAGCCGTATCTCTTTCAGATCATCTACTGGAGGGGGCATGAGGGGCTTTAGCTCAGGCTCTGCTATTGTAGGAGGTGGCGGTGGTGGGACCAGAAGCAGTTTTAGCTCTGTGTCTGTCTCCAGAGTTGGAGGAGGAAGAGCTGGAGGTGGAGGAGGCTTTGGAGCTGGCGGTGGCTTTGGCAGCAGAAGTCTCTATAACTTGGGTGGAAGCAAAAGAATTTCCTACAGCTCGGTCGGTGGAGGTCTACGGAGCGGAGCCGGGGGCGGATACGGCTTCGGTCTTGGCTATGGTGGCGGAGCAGGCGCTGGCTTTGGCTTAGGAGGAGCCGGTGGTGGTGGTGGCTATGGGCTGGGAAGTGGATTTGGGCTGGGAGGGCCCGGATTTGGTGGCCGAGGTGGCCCCGGGTTCCCTGTTTGCCCGCCTGGTGGCATCCATGAAGTGACTGTCAACCAGAGCCTCCTGGCACCCCTCAAGCTGGATATCGATCCGGAAATCCAGAAGGTGCGAACACAGGAGAGGGAGCAGATCAAGACCCTCAACAACAAATTTGCCTCCTTCATTGACAAGGTGAGAGTTTGGTCTGAACCATCAAGCCACGCATGCTATCAGTTGCCTCGGGATAAAACCTTCAGGAAGAAACTTCATTTGGATTTAGGGACTTGCCTGAACTGATCCCAGCCGACAAACAACGTGGGCTTGGCTGAAAACTAAGAACTGTTTTATGTTTCCTCTTAGCAAGGATGAGTTTTTCAGCATCTTCATATTATTGACAAAGTAATTCTCTCTCTTCCCTGTAAAAACAATTCTGGGGTGGATGGCTCTTCTCCTCTACAATGGGATACAACCAGTTTAGACCAGTAAGGTGGGCTGAACATCTACTGGGGCGAGAAACATTAAACTTGCAAGTACAGGTGTTTGGCCTGATTAAAACTCCTGAAAAAGTCTTGCTAAACACCTCCAGAAGCTTCTAATACTTTTAAGAAGTAGAAGCCCTAAACTGGGACACTCCTAGTAATTCCCTTCTGTTTGTCCCAACATCTCGGGACCTTTTCTGTTGGTGATCCCACCTTTTCCTGGCCATTGTGAGGTTTTTCCACACATGTCCCTGGTTTTGTTTCTCCCCAGGTGCGCTTTTTGGAGCAGCAGAACAAGGTGCTGGAGACCAAGTGGACCCTCCTCCAAGAGCAGGGTCACACTGTCACCAGGAAGTCCCTGGAGCCCATTTTCGAAGCCTACATCAACAACCTCCGGCGGCAGCTCGACAGCCTGGTGGGAGAGAGGGGCCGGCTGGACTCTGAGCTCCGGAGCATGCAGGACATGGTGGAAGACTTCAAGAACAAGTAAGGGATCCCGCTCTGCAGAGTGAGTCATCCCAGCCAGGAAATTCTGGGCCGGTGCTCATTCCTGCTAGTGCACACTTGGTGTTTGATCCAGGTTCCTCTTCCCAGCATAAAACGTGTTCCCAGAATTACCCCGTGCTACTTTACATTTATCACAGGCAAGGTCAGTGAATTCCTGGGGAATGGTGCTCCAGCACAACAGAGGTCACAGTCTGATCCCTGAAGTCTCCTGACATAATATACCAGGAGACAGAAAAATTAGTAAATTGTGAGGATAATAGACAGGCAAAACCAGAATGAAATGTAGCCAATAAACTTCCAGCTCTAAAATCCCCCATTTCCCATTCTGTGAAGGAAATTCCAGCTTTTCTAGAGGTCCCAGGTGATCTGGGAGTGCTCAGGCTCACTCAGCTCCCATCACCTGGAAGATGATCAGCCCTTTACCAAAAATTTCCCTGGGGAGAGCATTAACCCCCTGCTGGGATCCAGTGCAGGGGGGATGGATCATTCTCAGGACACACCAGTCAGCACCTGCTGCCTGGAAGGGATTTTTTGGGGGGGATTTTTAGGTGAGGCCATTGACTTTTATTTGGCTGAGAACAATATGTCCCTTCTTCAACCAGTCCTGCCTGCAAATTTGAGAATCATCCTGCAGGGCTGGAATATGTTAATATTAGGTAGTTAAGCATGGGAAGAGACAGATTTTTTGGGAGGGGAGCTGGGAAGACAACACTTAGATCCAACAGGAGGGACTGGCAGAGCTGCTAGTGTGGTTTTGGGTGCTTTTGAGGTCTTGAAATGTGTTGTAGGATTTTTGGAAATACTGGTTAGGCCCCAAATAAATTCTACAGTCTGGATTTCAGAGCTACCTCTTGGAAAAGAGAACACAGTTTAAGTCTAGAGTTTTTCCCCATCCACTGGCTTATTCCCACCTCTTCCCTTGTCCACTAACAGATCCGGCTGCAGGGAAAACTCTGCCAATATTGGTGAGAGGACTGGCACAAATCTGCCTTTGAAAGCCAGGTTTTGCCTCAACAGCCTGCATGTTTTGTCTACTTTCTAGCCAAGCCCTGCCCTGATTATCTGATGAGAGAATGTTGCTCAGAGCCATAGAAAGTTCCACAGAACCACTGTCAGAGCTGTAATGATCCCCTCTTGCACAACCATGGAGTTTTTTGTTTTAATTAAATGCTGCAGTGGGTTCCTCAGAGCCATTAGCATTATTATAATATCAAATACCAAATGATTGCTTTATTATACATTTGTAGGCATTGCAGTGCAGCTTTGTTGAAAGTCTTTTGCATAACTTTGCTTGGAGCAAAGGTCACCGGGAATGGCTGCTCCTGCTTCCTGCCAAAACGGGCTCTGAATCTGCACATTTATGTATGAGCTTGACTTTATGGGCAGTGATTAAAATATATTAATTTAACTGAGACTACTCACACCATGGAGTCCCACAGTTCAAAGACAGTAATATTTGCTCTGCGTCTGCTCTGGATAAACATGTGGGAGTAGGGAATATATCCATGAGCCACAACTGATGATTTGGGAATGGGGTGCTCCCACCTCTTCATTCCAACCAACCCACCTCACTCTTTTATCCTGGCAGATATGAAGATGAGATCAACCGGCGCACAGGTGCTGAGAACGAGTTCGTGGTCCTCAAGAAGGTGACTGGGTTGTGAATTACGGGCCAGAAAAGGGAATTAACCCACCTTGCAGAGTTCAAGCAAGACTTGGTGGGAGCTGGGGTCCTGCACCATCATGGCTGGGTCAAGCTGGGAGATCAGCACATCCTGGGTTGGGTCCTCCCGAGGCCAGGAATGGGCACAACCTTCTCTGTGCCAACAGAGCTGCCCTGTTTTCTGGTCTCTTGTGGCTCAGCTCAGCTCAGTCTCTGGTCACATCCTTGTGAGTCAGAGCTTTGCCTTCTGCCCAAGAACCTGGTTCTGGCTCACAGTCAATGTCCAACATTACATTTAAAAAATACCTTGATCACAGGGACATAAAAATGAGCCTAAGGAACTGCTGGCAGTGGCACAGGTTGCCCAGGGAAGCTGTGGCTGCCCCATGCTTGGAAGAGTCCAAAGCAGTATGGTCTGTGGAAGGTGTCTCTGCCCATGGCAGGGGTGGGAATTGGATGAGCTTTCAGGTCCCTTCCAACCCAAATCATTCCATGATTCCACGATTCCATGAATAATAGACCTGGAAGCAGACACAGTCCCACTGGTGTCCTGAAGCCCCTTTGTGTTCTGGTTTCATCAGAAACCATTGGTATCTTCTCTTTAGGACGTGGATGGTGCCTACATGAACAAGGTTGAGCTCCAGGGCAAGGCGGATGCGCTGGCAGAGGAAATCAACTTCCTGAGAGCTCTGTATGAGGCGGTGAGTGGCTCCTGAAGAGGATCCCCCAGCTCCTGCCCTATGGGTCCCACACCCAGGGCTCTACGGGACTAGAGGAGAAGGTGGTCCCAGCCTTTTGGAAATGATAATGCAGAAATAAGTTACAAAATGGAGACAGAGCAAGGGAAATGCAAGAAAACATCTTAGCGGGGAGGACTCCCAAATCACCTCATCTCCGGTTTCCACCATGGACACCAGACCATTAAATTAATTTTTTGCATCTCCTGCAGGAGTTGTCCCAGATGCAGCAGCAAGTGTCCGACACCTCCGTGGTTCTGTCCATGGACAACAACCGGAACCTGGACCTCAACAGCATCATCGCCGAGGTCAAGGCGCAATACGAGGACATCGCCAACCGCAGCCGTGCCGAGGCCGAGGCTTGGTACCAGAACAAGGTGGGTCACCGGGGTGACAGACTGATTTCTGTGGTCAGAAATTATCAGAAATTATTTCCCATCAGCTGAGGGGAGACAGGGACAAGATGTTCAAAAGTTTTGACTTTGGGCTCACAGAGTCACTGGCAGAACTGGCCTTAAACACTTCCCCTTCCAAGTTCTTGTAGGTGACAACACCTAGGTCCCCAATGCCGTGAGGCACTGCCTTCTGAGCAGATATTGAGAGTTAAGGGCAAGTGCCATTATTCCATGAGCAGATTTCAGAGGAATCTTGTCCCCTTAATCCTCATCCAGACCTGCACTTTGTCCCCTGAAGTCCCCTCACCCTTCCTTGATCTCTGAGTGCTCACCAGTGCTCTCTTCCTTTCCCTGCTCCAGTACGAGGAACTCCAGGTCTCTGCTGGGAGACACGGGGATGACCTGAGGAACACCAAGATTGAGATTTCAGAGATCAACCGGATGGTCCAGAGGCTGCGGAACGAGATCGACAGTGTGAAGAAACAGGTGGGAGAGTGATGGTCCTGCAGAGCAGGAGGAGGTGGGTGGGAGGTGATGGTGGCCAGGCTCAGCAGGAAGAGCCAGATCCCATCAGGAGCCCTCAGTGCCATCCTGGGAGCCACCAGCCACTGCCCACAACCCCCCAGCAACAGAGAGAGTGGTTTGGGGAGCCCAAATGAAACAACTGCCTGTTCTCCCCACTCCCAGTGTGCCAACCTCCAAGCAGCCATTGCTGAGGCTGAGGAGCGTGGGGAGATGGCCCTCAAGGACGCCAAGGCCAAGCTGACCGAGCTGGAGGATGCTCTGCAGAAAGCCAAGGCTGACCTGGCCCGGCAGCTCCGGGAGTACCAGGAGCTCATGAACGTCAAACTGGCCCTGGACATCGAGATTGCAACCTACAGGAAGCTGCTGGAGGGCGAGGAGAGCAGGTGAGGACATGTGGACCTGCTGTGTGCTGACCAGGGACCATCTCCTTGGCGTCAAACAGCTCTTCCCGAGGGGCTGGAGCACCAGGGCAGACAGACAGATGGTTGAAATTGTGAACTTGGTAGGCAAAGTTTTGTTTCTCCAGCTATTGGTGCCTGATAATGATAAAAATGAGCACTGTCACCTTTCACCTGGAACACAGACATACCCCACCCCACTGAAGGACATGGACTCCTAATTAGATGGTCCCATGGACGAGGTTTTGGCATTATTGCTCACTTTCCCCTTTCCCAACAGGCTTGCTGGAGAAGGAGTCGGAGCTGTCAGTGTCTGTGAGTATCACCTCCCTTCCACCTCTTCCTATCCCCCTCCTTCCACCTCTTTGTATCTGTGTCCCTTCCACGTCTTCCCACCCACCGCTCCCCAAGCGGGTGACACTGCAGATCTCCCACCTTGGGAGCCCAGCTGTTCCCTCACATGGCTGTTCCTGCTTCCTTCCAGCTGTGGTCAGCAGCTCCAGCGGGATGGGCTACGGCGGCGGGAGCTGCCTGGGCCTGGGCGGGGGGCTCGGCATGGGCGGCGGCGGCGGCAGCAGCAGCTACACCATGAGCAGCAGCGGCTTTGGAGGCGGCAGCGGCGGCTTCGGAGGCAGCGGAGGCTTCGGCGGGGGGCTCAGCTATGGCGGAGGCAGCTCCTTCAGCTCTGGGAGCAGCCGTGGCGTCAGCTCCAGCACGGGAGGCAGCGTCAGGATCGTTTCCAAGACCACCACCAGCAAAAAGACCATCAGATAAGGCTGGCAAGCACACGGCTGTCGCAATTCCGGCCTCCTGCCCTGCAGATCATGGTGTAAATAGCTGCGCTAGATCCTCTCCTTCCTCCGTCCTTCACCTCTGGGGCAGCGAGGGGACCAGGACCCCTCTGTGAGAATCTGGAGCACCTTTGGCTGAAGCACAGGTTGTAACAGGTCACTGGCTGGCATGGACCCCGTGGTGCCCCTCTGTCAGCAAGCCCTTGGTCTCTCCTCAAAGTCAGGCGTTCAAAGGGAAATGGAAGTGCTATGGAACAGGGACAACCATTTCGTTCATCCCATTCCAAGGGTGAATCACAGCCTTGTGGAACCACAGTCCCAGGTCCTCAGCAGTGAAAACATCTCCAAAAGGCTCTAAAAGCCTCTGCCCCCTAAAACATGTTACAACCTCCAAAGGTTTTGTCTGCAATTCAAGGTTTCTTCCAGCCCCTTCTGTTTTCTCCGGCACTTGTGGGAAAGGTTTTTGCTTTGTGTGTATAAGATTTCTAACTACTCGTCCTTGTGGCTGCAGCCTCCTCACTTCTCTGCCTAACCTACTGTAAGGTCCAATAAAAGAGCATTTGTCATTTTTAAACTCTGCTGTGTTTTGGCTGTTCTTCCCTCCTCCTGCTGTGAGTGTTGCACTGGGGACACCCTGAGGGCAGCTCCTGAGACAGGATTGGCTCCTTGAGGAAACAAAACTCAGTTTTAGGAATTGGGCTCTAGGACAAGTTGGGCAAATAGAAAGGAGGGTGAGATGAGCAACCTGGTCTATGGAAGGTGCCCCTGCCCATGGCATGTGGGTGGAACTGGATGGACTTTAAGGTCCCTTCCAACCCAAACTATTCCATGATTCCATGGATGGAGAACAGAGGCACAGGAAGGAAAAGCTGTCTCAGAACAGAGCCAAAAGCTGGATGAAGCTCACTGCGGTGGTTACCTGCAAAGTTTCCCTTTCTGCCTGTCACTGCAGGAGGAGGAAGTGCAGGGAAGTGGGGAAAAGGAAAGTGATTCCAAGGGTTTATTTGGAATTCATGGGCTGGCTCATGCAGGGCATGGCTCAGCCATTAGTTTGTAGAAGCAGGAGTAAATTGTACATCAGAGGAGCCCACCTCTGGCATCAGCACTATGGCAAGGACACAGAGAGGCTTGCACACAGCAGGAAGGGCTTGGAGCAGGTGGGCATTGCCCTAGTTGGGAAGAGCAGCTGCAGGGGCAGGCACAGGGCAAGGCACCCAAAATCTGCACACACAAACACACACACTGTTTGCACACTGAGGTTTCTCTGGGATGTGAAAATATCCCATGAAATATCCTGGCTGCTCCTCTGCAAGGGCAGTTTCAGGGCCTCAGGTTCATTTGGAGTGAACCCAAGGTCTGCCAAGGTGCCCACTGCACTTCAGTCTCCCAATTCCCACCCAGCTTCCCGGGAGGTTTCCATGACCTGCCTGGTTGGGGGGTTTCAGCTGAGATCTCATACCAGCCCCAGGCTCCCTCCTGTGGCTCCATGGTCATATCCTGATCCCACTTCCCACCAGTACCTGGTGTGGATCCCGGCAGGAATGGGGCAGCACCAGGCAAGGTGGGAATCCAGCCCCCATGGCCAAACAAGAACCTTGGTCAAGGTAAGAGCCAGGGCAGAAGGAGGGCAGATGAGGAAGGACCCACAGCCCTTTGGGAATGCTGGTCCCAAAAGGAGATGGTCAGTGCCCATCAACCCATCCCTCAATCCCTGCAACCTCCAGCCAGGGGTGGAGAGGAGAGGGGCCGTAATCCAGGTCTGCCAGAAAAAGCTCCTCATGCAACATTCCAGAGCCGCTTTCCAGGGAAAAGCCTCCAAGGTCTCACACCAATGGGACCCCCTCATCCACCACCTGGTGCAGGTGTGAGAGTCCTGGCCAAGCCCGCCGAGCATCTCCAGCAGGTGGGGACCCAGAGCAGGAAAAGGGATGGTCCCGCCCAATGGTCCTATGGGGGGATGAACATCCCGAGGCTCCACTCCAGCAGCTGGGAAGGGCCATGGAACGATGTCTTGGGAAAGCTGGGACAGCCCATTTGCACCAGAGGAGGTTCTGTGGTGGGTGAATGGTTGGGCTCCATGAACTGAAGAGTTTTATCCACTTTTCAAGCATCTGGCCTTGTTCCTTAGAATGATTTGAGGGAATGGGGACAAGCTCCCAGAGCTGAGGTGGTGGTTGGAGGCAGAGCAGCCCAATTTGTTGGGTTTTATTATTGAAAGTGTCAAATCTGATGGTTCCTGTTTTTTAACCCAAGTTGCACAACACGTTGGACCATTGGCCATGTCAACACATGAGTCCACCACCAATGAACCCTCCATGAAACATCTTTGCCAAATCCTTACTCATCCCCATGGCACCAGACAGCTCCTGAGCCTCCATGAGCCAGTGCTGGGTCTGTCTCCTGCACGCTGAGGGTGAGGATGCAGCCAAAAAAGCCCTGAGCAGCTCTGTGTGTTTTCTGTTTCCAGTGAAGTGTTCTAAGAGCCCATCCTGGCACATCTTCCTTGTGAATTCGCAGAGCAGATGCAAAAAGCTGTATTCAACTTCCATCCTCCTGATTTGCAGAGACCTGAAAAATTTGACACACACAATTCAAATGTGAGACGTGATTTTAACTGCCACCAAAACACCAGGTGAAACATTTTCTGAAACCCAACATTTAATTTCAGTGTTTCCTATGGGAATGATCCTGTCCCGAAACACTGAACCAACTCCCCTTAACAATTCCAAAATGAAACTTTGCAGCTTTTTTGACTCAAAAGCCGAATTTCCATCAAAGAAAATTATTTTAATTTGCAAATTGTTTATTTGCACAGGCTGTAAATGAAACAAGACACAAAATGCCTGCAGGGAAGGCAACACAGGGTACAGCAAATCCAGAGTGGAACAATATTCCCAGCTGCCATCTGCTCAGTTGGAGCAATATCCCACTGCCCAAAGCAGTTGGAGGTCAGGAATGGAACCAATCCCTTGGGACAGCTGAATGTTAAATAAACATGAGGCCCCCTGGAATCGCTGCCCTGTGAATGAATCCACTTTACAGGACACGTGGACAATCCTTGTTTGTCTTCCCAGCTCCTTGTGCTGATCCAGGTTGGTTTTAACATGGAGAAATTAAACTCCACACCAGCACTGTGGATCTTCAGAAGGAAAACCAAGCCAGGAGCAGGATGGAGCTGAGGGACGTGGAATGTGCACAGAGCTTGCCAAAACTGTGGGACTCCCCAGCAACACCATTTCCAGGGCTCTGTGTTCTTTACTGAGAGAAAAGATGTGCCCCAGGGCCAGGAGAAAGGATGGGATAGGACAAATACCCTGTGACCACCATCAGCCTTTGGAGTTCATGTTTTCATGTGGGGTCACAGCCCCAGGAGCCCAGCCCAGGGCAGGGGACTCTCCAAAGGCATTACAAGGAGACACGGAGGATCCAGGTTCCTTCAGGGGCCACTAGCCAGGCACCAGAACAGGATAAAGGAGGCACCAGACCCCTCCAAAAGTCTGAAGGTCCTTCAAGATGCAGCAGACCCAGGGAGAACAAGCCCTCCCAGGCGTGTGCCAGGCAGCAGTGATGGAGCTGAAGTTCTCTGCAAAGCCTGGAGTACACCCAGAGTCTCTGTGCTGGCACAGAAAACAATTATCTGGGGAAAGCAGGTCACACCTACACTTCAAAGTCACCCAGGAGTTGGAGCTGACTGGCCTCCAGATACTGCTGGGAACAGGCTCAAAGGACCCAGCACAGGGAAACACCTATGGGAAAACTTCTGAGGAGCTCGTCCTAATTCATCCCTTCGGGAAATGGGATTCATGGACACTCACCTCCCACCCAGGAGGTCTCAGAGGGCCTGGCCCCACCACACAGGGATGCTGTGCGTTCAGTGGTCTCCTGTGGAAAAACCTCAGTCTTGCTGGTCTTCATTAACATGGGATGAAATAGTAAATTACGCCCGAAATGAGTCGGGTTTGAATTTAGCTTGGAAGCCCAAGTTTAACCCAAAGGCTTTAATTTAAGAAATTAACCTAAATTACAGCCATGACTTTGCTGATAATTAAACTGAGATTAGGTAGCACAGGTGAACCAATGCAAGGTACTTTGACACGCTCTTGTTTTACAAATATAGTTATTTTTGCAAACAAAACACAGAGAGGAACATCCAAAAAATTTCAGCCTGAGAAGTTGCATCAGATGAAGGATTCTGAGATGGATTCTGAACAGGAGCAGGGGAGTGGAGGGATGGATAGGAGGTGATGAAAAGCTGTTGGAGACATCCCTGCTCACTAAACCACAGGAAAATGGCTCTAATTTCTCACTAAAGGGGCTGGAGTTGCATTTATTGCCCTGACAGAGGCAGAACTCCCTAATCTCAAAGGAGAAGTTTTTACCTTGACAGCAGCATGGTGCCAGATGCAAATTCAGCCAAGACTTTACTCCCAGGTTTACAGCCTTTGTACAGTGTTCTCCTGCCTCTTGCTCTGGGCTTGCAGCGACTGCTCATCCTGGTGGAAGGAAATGAGGAGGGGAAGGGAAGGGAGCTCCAGAGCCTGCCCAGCCTCTCTCACACCAGAGGGACTCTGGCCCAGAGGCACCTGCCCAGACACAGCTCCTGAGGTGGGAGCAGGAGGAAAAGCTCCTGAGCAGCGGGCGAGCTCCAGCACCATCCTCTGGAACCTCTGTATCAGGAGGTCCCTGCACCAGAGCAGCAAATCCATTCCATGTCTGGAGCTGCAGGAGCATGGGAGACACACCCCCAGGAGCTACCTGGAAACTCTGTGTTTCATCAACAGAGCAGGGTGGGGACCCCCCTTTCCATCAGCCCATACCCCAAACCTGTAGCTACAGCTCCTTGTGCTCCCAGTTCTGCCTTTTGTAATTACCTCTGAAATTCCTTCCAGATGAGTGACGACCACATCACCTCCACCCTGGCAGAACATGGAATGGAAAGAAATTAAGTCCTTCTCAGTTGCTTGGAGGAGCTGCATTATTACT